AAAAACTACAAAAAGTTAAAATTAAGCTAAAAAGTTAAAACTACAATGCATACTAAAAAGCGGAGAGAGCATCCTCACTATTGCTATTAATCATCCTTCTTTTACTAACGTAAGAGACTATTTCTATGTTGGATGGAATGAAGTCTTTCCATGCACAGTAATTTATTATTTTAGATTTAATCTAATTGCATAACACATGTGTGGTTGATAACACCTCAAGCTTTACTATCTGATTATCAGTAGTAATATCAACTATAGAGATATCTCAGAAGAAGAATAATGTTCTGTCCTTGATAGTACCATTTGAGAAGTTTATGATCTGACTAATAATTCAGATTACCTTTCATACTGAAATGCATAGATTACAGTAAAAAGTGTTCGCAATAAGAAGCAATTCTAAGTACCATTTTAGGTATACATAAATGCTTTATTTTTATAAAAAGATAATTTTTAAAGGAACTCACTACTTAAAAGTAGGGTATCTTTTCAAAGATACTTAATCACATTATCAGAAGCTGGCACTGAAAAAACACAAGCATGCAAAGACAGATTTCATTCTCTGTATGGTAGGTCTGTGTGTGCCAAATTATTACCTGAAAATCTAATGGGGAAAGCCAAGGGAATGCACAGTATCATTACTGAAATATGAGAATCTGTTGTCTGAAAGCATCTGACAACTAGCCAGTTGATTGCTAAAACATATGTCACTTATAGCTAAATGAATTGTTGCTGAATTTTGAACAAAATTGCTACTAATTGAACAGGTAGGTTGTCAGATACAAACATGAAAAAGAAAACTTGTGGTTAGTGTTTATTTTGAAATCTTCAACTGCAAGTATTTTCTGTCTTTGACTAGAAAAAATAACCTTGGAAGAGGAAGAGGCATCTGAGTAGTAATTTCTTTTTAAATACCGTACCTGCCAAATTATTACATACTTTTAAGGTAACTGAATTACTGAAATGAATGATTCATTTGGAAGGAATCTTAAGAGATAACTATTGCAGCACCCTGTCCTTGGATGACAGTGAATAACTCTGCTCCATCTCATCTGTATGAAATACTTGAAGATAGCTATTATGCCTTGAGTTTAGAGATTAATCCCTGGAACAGAAGTACAATCAGGAGTCTGTAGTGCAATCCCTAACTATCATTTTTATTGATACGCAAAAAGCTGCAACTTGCAGGTTATGATTGCTAAGCTACCCATCTTCACACTGAGTAGAAATGCTGCTGCTGGTACAAGCAGAAGTCATTCACAGGTATTTTGCAGAGTGTGTGACAGCTGCTTTTTCCAGCCTCGTACCCTCTAGAATACTGAGCCACTTCTGGAATTTGCAGTTGAAACTATTTGAGGGCTCTAAGTCAGAAAAGGCTTTATGGAGGGTTAGCATAAGGAACTGAAGATGTGCCACCTAAACATAGGCACCATGGCCAAGAAGTCATATGTTTTTAAAAGAGTTGCAGCGATAACTCAGTTCTCCCAGCCAAACACGCTGCTTAATGACACATAGTATGCTTTATAATGGATTGGATTAGGATTAGTCATGCATAGAATAGGTCCAATGAATTTTCAGTAAGCCTATTCCAAGAATAACTAAGCCTGTTTGAGATACTGGGTAAAAAAAATGTGCTATAGGTCATGTAAACCAAATGTTGATGAGATAGAAGTAAGTGACCTGCAATTATGAGTCAGCCACAATTTTCAGGCATGGAGTCATCCCATCTCCAGATAAGGTGGTTATTTTCTGTCTGCCTTTTTCCAGAACCTGATAACAACTTGTATGGTTCGTACAACAGTACTATACCTGGTTACTTTTTTCTTTTGGAACCTCTGCCACTTGAGTATGAACAGAATTCCTAACAGTTAACTAGATATTTAATGAAGCAAATTAGTTATAGAAATATAAACTGAAAATAAGGGAGAAAAAATGGGATTGGGGAAGCAAAGAGGAAGCCAGTTGAACAACCTAGAGTGGGAAAGTATCCAATGGTGCCAGAAATTGTGCCCTAATTTATCCAGCCTTGTAAGCTGTCAAAGTGATAAGCATACACTGAAAAAAATGTTTCCAAAAATGGCGTGGCAGACCTATGTAGTCTATGTACTCCATTCCACAAGCTGATATATAACTGTAGCAGAAGGTAAGAGCGTTTCATTTGTTCCAAGAGAGCTCTTGCATTTTTGTTGTCTCCTTGTGTTTGTTGGTAAGTATTGGGTAGATAACTTTTTCACATTTGACAGAAGAAAATTTGATTTCATTTTTTAAAGTTTCTGATCTATCAAAGCACATTTTAATATATTTTAAATATATTAAAGGTATATTACATTTTCATTAAATTTCTATAGTCTGGATGAATTTTGTAACTGAACCATTTTAGAGAATGCACTCAAGCTATGCTGATATTCTTGATGTTCTTTTTAACTCATTATAATAGTGTAGCTAGAATGTTTCTCTTGGTTTTAGTACTTTATATGTTGGAATAGGGACAATTTCACACTGTCTTACATCATTACCCAGAATCAGAGCTGAATATTTGTATTCATTTGAGAGCATTGTATATTAAGAACTCTGCTTTTTGTGTGATATGCTAACTCAAGGGTGATTCTACATAGGAAAAGGAAAATGGGGCAGAATCCCTTACATAAATATATTGACATTTCTACTTTCTGTCAAATATTTTTGTGTGCAAAATGTAGCTTTACTCATCACTCTGTGGATAGTTGAATTCTATGCACACAATTAGTTTTTGTATATCTGTACATTGCTGCATGTGTTAATGTAAAACTGCTAAAACTGCTCTAATTCTTCTGTAAGTACATCAGTCAGATCTTTAAATTATTTGTGCATGTAAGAGCAATCTTAATTGGCTGGAAAATAAGAAAATCAGTCTCAGGGATTTTCTCTAAATAAACTGTTCTTCAATTTGTCTATAAAAATAAATGCAATCTAGACTTTCAGTAGCAATTTACTTAAAACATTCTGTTAAGAATTCAGTAAGATCACACCTTTTTTGTTTTAGAGGTTTGGAGGAGATTGTGTGTTACTGAAATAAGATATCTCTGACATAAAAATTTAAGTTTAAATTAAGGTGTCATTTACTAAATGGCATGCATGTTTTCTAGATTAAAATTTGAATTGCTAGCACCTTAAGAAAGGTTTTCTATGTATATTCATGACATAGAAGCCCCAGTGTTCATAGCAGAAATTTGTGTGTTCACGTTCTTTAATGGGAACAGTGATATTTGATATCAGTGAAATATATTCCACGTGTGTGTGCCTAGAAATACAACATTGGAGAAGACTCTGCCTTGAAATATGGCATCTGAAGAAATCCATTTGTTTTTGATTGATTAACATCCTCTGAACTATAAATACATTTCAGAAAAACAGATTTCAGTGCATCAAGTTTTTATTTTCTTTCCACTATAGCTAATTGCCCCACACTTTAAAGAAAATGGAAGATTCACACTTTGTCAGTCTTACTAAATCACCTTTGATTTATTCCAGATAGAAAGTTTCATTTGAGTAGGATTTTCTACATTTACCTCCACTGGTTTTAGAAAAAAAGGTTTTGCAAAAGAAAGTTTTGCTCTGGGACTAGCTGCATAAACTGTAATATGCCCTTCACTGATGAACATTGATTTGGAAAATTAATGTTTTTTTAATCTCTGGGAGATCTTTCTACTTACTTGAATCCCTCTTCTGACATAATTTTAGGTCTGACTAAGCCTGGCTTTCTTTGAGGTCTTGAACCTTATTGGATGGCTGTCTTCTTAAAAAAGGGGGGAAGATTATTAGGAATAAATACCTGCAACAAGACCAGTGTGTTATGCAATGTGATATTGCTCTTGTGCAATTCAGTAAGTCTAACTCTCAGAGATGCAGTAAGAATCCATAGAATATGCTGGACTAATGGCTTCTGACACGTACTCCAAGTTTCATTGAACAATGCCTCCATTGCAAGATGAACGGAAAAAAAATGGTTTCAGCAGTGATTTAGGTACATGTGGACATGGATTTCTATTTCCAGAGGAAAACTTAGGAATATTTCTCCTTTTCCTACATCATCTTGATTATCAATACAGTACCAGCATAAGTGAAGGGAAGAGTACCTAGCCTTACAGTTGAACTTCAGAATCTCAAGAGAAGTCCATTGTACTGGTTGTTTATGGTAAATAAACCTGGTCCTATCTCACTCCACTTCCTAGAACAGTTCTTTTGATAAGGGTTCACAGTTCACAGATACAGAATAGTTCTTGTAAGTGAGCACTTAGCGGGAACGGCTGCCATTTCAAAGAATTAACCAAAGCTTTCTGAAGCTTTCCAGAGAGGATCTATTTTTAGATCTTTCCTGCTGAGATTGTTTATATCATGGGGATAATTTGGGTGGGTGGGGAACATGGTGTTGCAGACTAGTTTCAAGAAATGTACTTGCTTTATGCACAAATCGAACATAATGTAAGACACAAGTCCCTTTCATGTGTTAATTACATAAGGATGTCTCCATATGAGGGGGAAAAAATAGCACTGCTCACTAGACCCACCTCCCAGAATCTAGTTACTGAAGAAGGATGTTGTAGATGGAGATATTAGGCATCCATATAAGATGTGTATATAGGATTCTCCTGCTACTATGTGCTCAATATATTAGTATCAAGTATGAGTAGGTCCTGTAGCAAGACTCTGACAACACTTTCAATCACAAGCCTTGTTTGAAGGCTGCAGAGTTAACCAGAAAAGTAGAGAGGAAGATTTCAATATTTTCTCCAGGCAAATCTCTCCTTACCTCTCCCCACCCCCACTTTCTATCTGTGAATAAAAGATAGTGGGGAGTAAATTTGATTAGGAAAGAGATTACTTCTCCCCTATTGTTCTAACAGATATTGCTGTGTCCCATAGAAGACTTGCTGAATCGCTCCATTCGAAGCAGGAGTGAATTCCCCCACCGTATGTTAACTTGCCCAAATTCCTACTGTTACTGAGGGATGCACTAGAGTTAAGACCCTCAATTTGACATTTCTCAAGGGAGAATTTGATAGATGCATATCATCATGTTTGAAAAGATTACACCTTGAAAAGATTACACAGTAATACATACACATCTAAGGGATGTCTGGCTAGGCAGCTGTACAGACATGTCAATGGGGTTACCGCATGCTCTTAAGCTGTAATATGTGAAATGGAGCTGACTTTTTTGCTCAATGTTTTTTTTACTCAACAGTCAACAGTGTAGAGTTGTATGGGAATCCTTTTAACATTGTGAATCCCCTAGAAGTGGCAACTAGATTTGAGTGTATCCATTGCCATCTCGCCTATTCCCAGCTGTTTACCTAGTAGAATGTAAAAAATCTGTAGCTTTGTGCTCAGAATGCACGAATAAGCAGAGCCTAAGATTAGCAAAATATATGTATAGCATCTAAGAATGTACAGTTGTGCCTCAGATGGATATGTTTCTACGACTGAAAACCTTCCAAGATTTTTGGTAATGCAGAGGATGTTATGAAAAGATTTGTATGCATGAAAATGTACAGTCTTTAAACTGGACATGCTTGAAGTCTAGAAATAAGTCCCTTGTTGTAATGTTACTCTATCTCTGCACATCCATGCAACTTTGAAAAATTATGAGAAGTTATTTTTCTTCTGTTTTCCCTGCATCCTGAAGCTTGCTCTTGATGTCATTTACATTGTTAATCATTCTTCTGTATGTTTTGCTTTATCTTACCCAACTGTGTTGCCTGAACCATTCAGCTGCCTGTATAATACATACCACAAGACATTTTTTTCTCACCATCATTTTTAATTATCTCTTCGTTCTTCTTAATATCAGTTCCTGGCTATCTTTGATTTAATAAAAGCTTCTGCTGGTAGAAGAGTGGAATCCATTTTCATTGATGTCCACTTTCTCCTACAATCTCCATACCACTGCCTCCAACTCATGAACAGATATTCAGGGGCACAAAGGGGGTCAGGAAGAACAATAAAAGTTATTTCTTTCACCCCACACATAAACATCCTGTGAATAGTTCTGTTCATGGAGTTTTTTATTATCAATATCTTAAGAAAAGGTTTAAGTTCAACTATTGCCAGAAAGAGGAACACTTAAGAAGCAAACCAGTGAGTCTAAAGATTTTACCACCTGTTCCTTCTCAGGTTATTTTCACTTGAACACAATTATAATCAGTGCTGTTATATTAATTGATTTGTGAATATATTGGCTGAATGTATTAGAAGCTATATTATGTGATTCACTTCTTGTTTGTGTAAATGTTGTTTGATAGTTCAAATTATTTCCCAAAACTCCAGACCTATTTTTTCCCTTGGCTTTTGCTGAAAGGAGAGTGAGGAGTCATGGGTGATGATGAGGAAACCACAGCCCTTGTCTGTGATAATGGTTCTGGGCTTTGTAAGGCTGGATTTGCAGGAGATGATGCTCCCCGGGCTGTTTTTCCATCTATTGTTGGGCGACCTCGGCACCAGGTCAGTTTTAATAATATAAGTAAGAACCCTGCAGACTGGTGGTAAGTTGGTCCTTACTGTTTTAAAAGTCATTGTATTTGATTTGAGTGCATCTCAAAAACCACTAAAGATTTTTCAGCAATGTATAAATAGGATTGTTCTAATGCTTTTTTTTAAACCTCCCATTCCCATGTAGGAAATTAGTGGATTCTTAATTGAATTGCCCTTCAATCCAGATGATGGGATAGCTTCACCACTATTTCCGAGGACAGCAGACAATTTAGGGGACTAGAACAGACAAAGTGGCAAGCAAAACCTTGTCATGAATAGAAGAAAATGGCAGGAGACTCAGAGGAACAGCAAGGAAGTTGCCATTACAAGGGGCATCCACAGGAGGATCACGATGGTGGCCATAACTGCAAGACTGAAGCCCTGCCCTTTTTTCACATGTGTTGTTATGTGTGATGCATATAAAAAAGCACAGGGCTTTTATCACCCATCTTGACTTTGTTTTACCTTCCCTGTGTACACCCCTGGTTATCCTACTCAGCCTCTGCCGCTTGAGGCAAATGGCTGTGCTGCCTAGTGATAGGTATAGGTTTTTATATAAAATATTTTAGAATAAAATACTGTTTAATTTTTTGATGTTTGCAATATTGCATATTAATTATCAGATTATATAAAACATAGGAGAGTCATTACTGACCATCTAAGATAAATAAGGGCAATGTAAGTCACTTGCAATCAACTGATTAGGGCAGCCTGTAAGGAATAGAATAAAATTTACAGATTAAATACACTTTTCCAAATGTGAGATTCACTCTATGCATGGTCTGCAAGGTTTCACACCTGCATGTTAATCCTTAGAATGTGCATTAAAAAAAAAGTTATTAAATTCTGTTATACTATATAATGTAGTTTACAAATATGGTATAATTACAGAATTGTTTCTTATGTCTTGCAGTTCAATATTTTCCATGTAATCAATCTAGTTTTATAAAAAGAATAAGAAATAGATCACAACAACAAATAAATCAGTATTTTAAAATGAAGGCTAAAGAGAGCAAAATAGACTTAGCAATTCTAAGTGCCAGACAATGTGTATCAAAAGCAAAGATAGAATAATTGGAAAGTAAATCACTTTTTGATGAGAGCTGCTGTGGAGTGTTTGAAGTATGGCATAGAATTTGGGCATAATTAAACATTAAGTCTTGTTGATTTTAATGGGAGAGTTACAGAACAATCTTACATGCTTATTTAGCAGTGCAGTGCACAATCCTCCATGGAACTTCTTCCAGACAAGTGTGTATATAATTGCAGCAGCTGTAGTCCCCTTGCTTGGAAAGAAGTACCAGTAAATGTATGATGTAGCAGGTCATCCTTTCCCACTGAAGTAAACCAAATGTTGAAAATTGAAAGTTTCAAATCCAAATCCTTTGGAATTTGTATTCATATGGTGCGACACAATGTAGTACAGGTAGTCCTCACTTACCAACAATAATTGAGACCAGGAACTCCGTTGCTAAGCAACACAGTCGTAAGGTGCAATGTCCGTTGCTAAGCAACACAGTTGTAAGGTGCAATGTCCATTGCTAAGCATCACAGCTGTAAGGTGCGATGTCACATGACCACACTGGCTTATGATGGCAGTTCTGGCAGTCTCAGTTGCTGTTACTAGGTGAATCCTGCATAGTTGCAGCATCCCGCAGTCATGCGATCACCCTTTGCAATCTCCTGCCAGCTTCCCCATTGACTTTACTTGTTGGAACCAGCAGTGAAGGTCACAAATGGTGATCATGTGACTGGTGCACTGTGATGTTGTAATTGTGAGCTGGCTTCCGAGTGCCTGGATTGTGAGCATGTGAGCACAGGGATGCTGCGATGGCCACAATTATGAGGATCCATTGTAAGCACCCCTCATTCAGCACTGTCGTAACTTTGAACGGTCGCTGAATGAGTGAACATTAAATGAGGACTACCTGTAGATTCACAATGACTGATCATCTGTCATAAGCATACCTCTGAATATAGCCTATGTAATGTGTGATTATCAGTGGTTTTGTAATATTATTGTCTAGGTGTTATGGATGCCTGCTTTAGAAAGAGAGAGGCTGACTTGTCTATGCAAAGGAAACAATGAAAGGGATTGTGTGGAACTGCCAAAGACACAGGCTGAACCAGAGTAGAAGAATGTACCCCTCTTATTATTGATGATGATATTGATGATGAACTATAGCAGAGGATAGTTAATCTATGTGAATGTTTGTGATACACTGTTGATGGCAATGTTTTCCTTTGATTACTAAATTTTGCAGGGGGTTATGGTAGGGATGGGCCAGAAAGACAGCTATGTTGGGGACGAAGCACAAAGTAAACGAGGAATTCTGACCCTGAAATATCCTATTGAGCATGGTATTATCACAAACTGGGATGACATGGAAAAGGTGAGTGCTTTTTGTGACTACCTATGATTTGCTGCTTTTGAAAATGTCAAGTAATAACACCTTCACCAATGAGATTGCTAATTCTCCTCCACTGGGACCAACCAGAGAGTTTCTTTATGTACAGTATAAGCTTGGGAACAGTTTCCCTTTCTGCCCCAAAACAACTGGGAGCCATGGGTCTCCTTGCCTTTTTCCCATGAGATCATGCTGTTTGTGGTTATGTTATTCACACATAACTCATCTGTGTCACAAGATCATCACAGGCCCATCTGTGTGAAGAAGCTGGAGATGCTAAGTGTACAGAAGTACACATTATGTTTGCTTATATTTTTGCTCTGTGAAGAAGCAAGGTCCTGTGTAGAAGAGGCAGCGCATATGTAAGATAGGGAATAGCCATAAGCATAGCTCAGTTGTTGCTTCCATACTGAAGCTTTTATAGAGTTCCAGACTGAATGTGTGCTCTGCTCTGGCATAAGGTTTTTTGTTTGTTTGCTTGCTTGCTTCAATGTCACTGCTTTAGCAGAAGCTTAGAAGAGGCTTAGAGACTTGGTTTTCACATGCAGGTTCATATCTAAGCACTCCAGAGCACTGATGGGCTATGATGGGAATTTCTTAGTTTTCTCCCCACTTGCCTTCAGAACCTGCCTCATCCTTTCTTCGTTGCCTTTTTAGCCGAAAGATTCTGAGACCTCCTGTGCTTCTGCTTTCTTTGAGGATGGGGGGGGGGGGGAGTGGAATTACATACTGCATCCTCTAGATGGTAGCATGGTTTTTCCATAAATGACATGCAGCACTTCATTTGATCCTATTCAGAACACAGCCCTAATTATTCCCACTACATCTCTGTAATTCACCCTTGTCCCTTTCATTTCTATTTCCTGTGTTGTCAAGTAGTTCTAAAGTTTAAAAGGCAGCATCTGTGATACATTCTTTGCTGTGGTTGCTTAATGCTTTGTCTCCTCAAATTCCCAGCTGTGCTCATCCAAATATGCTAAATCATTAAAAGCTCAGAAGCAGGGAGAGTAGCTAGCATCACTTCATCTCTTGCCCCATGGGTCCTCCAGCAGTCCCTTCTCTGCCTTCATTGGCAAGGGTTGAGTTTTGTTTTGTCCTCTCCATCCAAGTTCAGAAATCTGTGAAAGTTTATTTATTTATTTACTTATTTTATTTTATTTAAAACATTTATATGGCCACCCATCTTGTACCAAACTCTGGGTGGCTCACAACCAAAAGATAAAACAACTTCTATATATAATAAAAAATATTAAAGCTACAAGTATTAAAACCCAAAACAAAACAAAACCAGTCAAAACCTGGCACCATAGCTAAATTTTCACATGCAGCCCATGACAAGTTCATCTCATCAATCTCACCCTATCCCAACATAATTGTATGAAGGTTCCAAAAGTGAAAGTGCTTTCCTTGGAAAAAGGTAACTGAAGACTTTGGGCTACTTAATTACTAGTTTTCTGTAGTAGTTCAGCATAAAGAGAAATAATCCCAGAATTAATGCACCCCTCATTGGGTGTTTGGATTAACTGCCCAACTTCTTCAGAGCTCCAAAGAAATCCCAACTCCACCCTTTCCTTTAACTGCCTCAGCTGCAACTTACTCCACCTTAGAAACTAAGCCTGTAGTTTAGTTACAAGAGACTGGAGTGGGGATGGGTGTAACCATCACCTACAAAAAATACGGGGCAAGGAGAAACCCTTCTCCCCAAAGATATTTTTCCTTCCACAAGAAATACAGAGAAATCACCTTTATGCTGGAAAAATGATTTGGCCATTGTTAACTGGCAAAGCCATACCGTGGTAGCCAGTTTGACTATTTAAGCAATTGAATTATTTACTTGCATACCCAACTTGCAAATGCTTTTGTTGCTGAATCCCACTTGCAATATAAAATAACATTTTACTTCTGACGTATGCATTAGAGCAAACAGAAGCTACAGTTAGACCACAGGAGACAGGCAGAAACCAAGATGGTGTAATTGAGACCAGAATGAAAGGCTGCAATCTTATACCTTTTGATCAGGAGAAAATGACATTACAGTCAGTGGGCTCTACTGCAGAGTGGACCTATGTAGGATAGTACTGTGAAAGAAAATATATAGAAATGAGTGGTTGCATCCAAGAGTGTGTCAATGGGTAAGGCCTCAGCTGGTTATATTTGGGTACAACTGGGTTCCTGCTTCTCTTCCAATTATCACCCCCAAATTGAACCATCTTGCTTTTTTCTTTGCCCTACTCTACTATCTCCCTACTCTACTATTTCCCTACTATTCCCCTCTGTAATACTATTTTCTCACAGACTTTGATCTCAGGCAGTCAATACCCATAGAATGTAGTAGAAGGACAATAACATGCGAAGAATGAAAAGAAGCAGTGAGGACAGAACAACTGTTTGCAACAACTCTGAAACACTGCACACATATTTGTGTGTTGGGGCCAGACTTCTTATAGTAGATACAGATTACTTGTCACATGGTGCATGGGCATGCTAAATGAGTGGTGAGAAATAAAATGCAAAGTCATGAACTCTAGATCTAGGTTCTTCCATTCTCCAATAATCATCCACTTAGGGTGGCATGTAAGTGTCTGTGTATCCACAGCTCCAGCAAATCTAATGCCCAAAAGGGAAAGGACAAGAATGTGGCATTACTTCTGATGATTTCATTAAACTTCAGTGGGGTTCTTCATTGTTCTTCCATAGCACGTAGAAGGGAAATCATTCTTAGCTCTTACATTTAATTTTAAGCATTTGAAAATGCCATTGCTGGTAGAAAACTGAATTATTTCCCTTTAGCACTCATAAAATCCAAAACATCAGAACCAAAATAGGGGGAACTTAATCATTATATATGAATAGAATGACAAGCCTTTGATTTAGTATATAATATATCACACTTGAGTCCCGTGGGCAACTTTTTTCACTATGGAAATTCTGAAAGGCTTTGTAATGAAAAATTTTGCAGCAGTAAATTTTTTTTTAAAATCTCAGATCCACGTCTCTGCAACAGTCCTTTCAAGCACGGCTGAAGCATTTGCTGCCAGAGCTTACGTGAAAACATGCCTATATTAAAATTCCCAGCAACCACAAAGTCAGTAAATTAGGGATTTGCCTCTAAAATAGGGATATTAACTTGAACATTCATGAGGTTTTTTTTATGTCCTACCCACTGGTGTCACTCAAGTGACATCTTCCTGGTAGGGAATTGTGCATTGATTCTGCCTGCAGGAAAAGTGCTGCATAAAGAGTTTCCTTTTGTAGAAGTGGCAGAGTGGTGGGAGTATCCGTAGTGCTCATGTGATGAAGGCTCTGGATACTGAATGCCTGGATGTTCCAGGTGTGGGACAAAGTTAAGCATGCAACTCCACAACGGTACAATGTAATCGTATGGAATGCCGTTCTGCGCCATTCTTGTAAAGTTGAATCAGCCTAAGAGAGGAACATAGAACTCCTCCGTGCAAATAAAAAAGTGCATGAGAAATCCCATTTTCAGTCCTTTTTGCATTTTTACTTTGGTCTAAGGGTCATTCTCAATACACAATGTTCATCTCCCAACATTGTTTGCCATCTTTAGATTTGGCATCATTCTTTCTACAATGAACTACGTGTTGCCCCAGAAGAGCATCCTGTGCTGCTGACAGAAGCTCCTTTAAATCCTAAGGCTAACCGAGAGAAAATGACTCAGGTAATTATTTGAATATTGTTTCTTCTCAAAGTAGGAGCAAGAAAACTATCATTTAACAATCACAGAAATGTAATTTCATCATATGCCATCAATGGAGTTTTTCTTTTTTTTTTTAATCTGCGCTCAGTCGTTACCGACTCTGCAGTGACTGCTTGGACGAGTCCTTTTTGCAGTTTTCAAGGCAAGTGTTTTGGAAGTGGTTTGCCAGAGCCTCCTTCCTAGAGAAGAGCCCAGCTGGCGAGCGCA